GAAAATCACATTCATTCCCATGGAGGTGACATCTCTATGGAGGTAACTCTCAAATCTATATAGGGATAGAGACTGGATCTGTAATGTCTCTGGCACAGTGAACTCCCAGATGAGGAAACTACCTCTACCAACGCAGGATGGTACCTTCTCAGTAACTTACAGTGTTAGGGAGTAGTCTTCAAGGTTGAGTGACTTACCCTGGGTCAATCAGCCAGAGTGGGTCAGCATAACAGCTTAAGTCCTGGCTCCAAGGCCAGTTCTCCATCCATCACACCACGGTGCCATACTCTCTCTCCTGAACTCTCTGCATCCTCAAAGTACCTAGAGAGGGCCTAGCATAGAGTAGGTGCTTGGTAAATGCTGGCTGAATTAAACAGCATTTTAGGTACTGGCTTTGTCACTTTTGGACTTGGACAAGCATATTTAACCTCTCTGAACATCCTCATCTATAAACTAAAGGCATGAACACTTATGCCTTCCACTGAATACAATGGAATCCACTTGGGATAATATTACTATCTCCCATTTCTACAGCACTTTTTCATTTTACACATCTGACTTCAGTGATTCTTTACAAAAGCCATATGTAAATACCGGTACCTCAATTTTGCAAAAAGAAAAAACAAAGGCTTAAAAAAATGGGTCACACAATGGGGATGGAGTTTTTTCTGTGGACTAATGAAGTACAAACACTGTCTGTGTTCAAGAACAATTCCAAAGGAATGTTCTTCTAAGAATTCAGCAGCAGGATCCCCTTCAGGGCAACTGTAATGTAAATACTTGATTCAAATATAAAATTCATGCAATATTTATGAAAGCCTTATTTCTTGGTATCATATAATTGCTAGCTTGATGACAAAAGTTTTTGTCATCATATATATGACTACTATCCTACAACATTTATATTTCTAAATAGTCTTTGTAATAAAGATTTTAATCAGTATCTTTAGGTTTTTTATATCACCTCAATTTACCTCATACTCCCCCCCCTCAAAGAGGAATGCCTCATAACAAAGAATTTTTAAAAGAGCAGATAAAAATTCAGCAAGACCTATCAATAATACATGCAAAGGACATGCCATTCTATGCAGTGTTCCACACCTCTGCAAAGCAGAGACTGGAGGTAACCTCTTAGATTTCTTGTTTGGGCCGAGTCTGTTCTTTGTTTCGTTAGGTTTGCTTTGGACTGTTTTGCAATTGCTGTTCTTTCCATTTACTGCTGTGATCAGAGCGGACATTATGTTTCTGGCTCTGCTGACTTCGCTCTGCATAAGTGCATGGCTTTCCATGCTTCTCTGTATTTGACATACTTGTTGTTTCTTACAATATGCTAATATTCCACTAAATATTCTCCAAATATTTATATATGTGGGTTTAAACATTATTTTTGTATAACCACATACAAAATGTGGCTTTGTATCAGGCAAAAGTCTGATTCAACTTATTGTTTAGATAGATTTCAAATGGTCTTTACAAATTTAACTTCTCTCTTTATCAGGTAGATACTCCTTCAGTCCCATTATTTTTAAGATGGTTTATCAGGAAGAGTTGTCTTAGGACATTCACTTCCTTATGCAGTGAAATCTTCCATTAAACAACTGAGAAAATTAAATTGATTCTGTTTCATTTTTAATTGATCCTATTTACAGTTAATTGATTTGTCCTGTAATTGTCTAAGACATGGTTCTTCATCTCTGAATTTAGTTCAGAAATTCAGCTGGCCAGTTCTGCTAATCACTATCCTATTCTTGTCTCAAAGAAATCTGTTTTCCTTAGAGAATGTAGGTGGACACCAAAAAGTCTGGTCTAGTATCTTTACACCTAGGACAGAAGCTATCCTTCAAGGATGTCTGGTTGGCTATCAAAAGCTACTATCTCTAACCTTGCATGTGGATTCAAACAATGAATATTTTAGTCACAGAAAAGGAAGGAGAGGGTTGTTGCTAGCCCCTCATTCCCAATTTCCAACCAATCATATCCTTACCCCCATGATGCTCCAACTCTGTTATCAATTGTATTATTTCCTCATCTACCCTATTCTGTTCTTTGGTCCATGTTTATAAAAGGGAGCTGCACCTCCAATTTGAGGTCTTTTGGCTGAGGCAGTTACTAGACCTATTTTATTAAGGGTTTTCACTCTGCTAATAAAATTATTGTCTTGCTCAGAGAATATGTGCCTCAGCTTACCTTTGTTGAATTTTACTCAAAACACAATGAAAGAATCAATCACCACAAAATTTTTAAGTACCTATTACATGCCAAGCACTGAGTGAGAATAGGAACACAGAAACAAAAAAGAAATAATCTCTGCCACCCTCAAGGAACTTAGGTTCTATGAGGGAAAACAACACGGATCTGTTTTATGCTTTTCTTCCTTAGGGCTCAGTACAGCTCTTGGCACATAGTAGGTGCTTAATAAACGTTTACTGATTCTCTCTGAAGAACTGAAGGATGAAGGGAATGGAGATTACAGTGAGGAGGAACAAGAAGGCAACAGCTATGGGCTGTTAGGCACTGGGAAAGATGGAATGATAACGCGTGACGTTTTAAAACAAGGAAGCGAACCAGCTGGGGGTGGTGACAAGACCAAGTGCTTGATCACCTCTGGGCATGGAGACAGGGGTGTACATGAAGCATGTTGTGGATGTACACCAAACAAGACCTGATAAATGACTGGATAGGAGGTGCTGAGAATCCATGAACCAAGCAGGAAGTATCTGGTGAGCACCTCTACCGTGGGGCCCTGGGGACCAGACAAAGGCCTCTCAACACTCCCTTCACATGATGGGCTATTCTGAGATCGCAAACCTGGGTGGCTGGAAGGACCCTGGTGCCTTCAAAAGAAACAGAGAAGTTTGAAAGAGGGGGAGTTTTGCAGGTAAAGATGAATTCTGTTTTGGACATGTTGAGATTAAACAGCCTATGGCACATCCAGCTTCAGATATCCAATAGACAGTTGGGAAAGAACAGGGCTGCATATACAGATTTAGAAGTCATCTGAATAGAAATGATCATTGAACCCATGAGCTTCTGAGTTTAATCACCAAGAAAAAGAATGTAGATAGAGAGGACAAGAAGGTCCAGGACAGAGCCTAGATACATCCATGGGTGAGCTGGGACATACATAATGATTCTGCAAAGGAAACTGAAGAGTGGTCAGACAAACGGAGAGTAGCATTACAAAAACCCAGAGAGGAAATAGTGGTCAATGGTGTGAAATGCTGCAGAGAGTGCTGAGAAAGTGCCGGCAGACTGGCAATGAAATGATCAGCGAGAGAAGTTTCAAAGAAAGATGTTTTAGTTGAGTGATAAGGGAAAGGGGGAAGGGAACAAGCATTTGTTAAGTGCCTACTATATGCCAGGAACACAGCTCTTTAAAAATATGATCTCATTTGATACGGTCAGAAAACAAATTTGGAGGCATTGAGAAAGTGAGTAATGGGAGAGGGAAGGAGGGCACATGAGTAGGCAGCAGAGTACAAGGGAAAGGGCAGAGGAGTCTGTCACTAACAAGCTACATGAAGCAGGACAGGCTACTTCTCTCTATAGTTCTAAGGGCACTGAGTTTACAGTCAAAAGTACCTTCTAGCTATCAGTCTATGATATGGTTTTGAATTCTATCTCTTTTGCTGGCTAGTTAGTTGTATGACCTTGGGCAAGTCCCTTGTCCTTTTCTAGCCTCCATTTTCATTTCTATAAAGAGAAAGTATTGTCCTAGACTACCTTTAATGTCTCTCCAAGTTTTATTATTCTATGATTTTAACTACTACAGAGGTATCCATGATGTATCTGACTCAGTACTCAATCTTTTAGGCTATAATTCTACTACTGTAAAGGTGATGAGGATAATTTTGAACATTCCCATCAATGTCACTTCAGGAACAATTCAAATATCCCATGAAAACCATTCACTAGCTGTCTGGAGCTGACTAACTTCATGCTTATCATAAACTAATTCTCATATGAAAGTGCCTAAAGGATAATTTTACTTTAAAAAATGGCAAAAAGTGTACCTCAAATCACCAAGGGATGAATTTACAAAAAGTATATGTAAACTGATTTTCTATAAACTGGTCATTTTAAATAAACTAGAAGAATTAATTTTTTTTATCTCTAGCACAGTACAATGCTGGCATATAAATAGGCTCTTGCTAAATATTTACTGATTGACTAACTTTTATTAAACCCAATTAAGACAGATGTCGTTTCATCATTAAGAGCTAGCTAAAAGATACCAAGAAGTCACACTTTAGACTACAGATTCAACGTTTGGCCTTATCAACAACAGAGTTAAAATTGTGATTTATAACAAAAGTGACCTGCCTAATCAGAAGAACTTAGTTTAAAAGTGACAACAAAACCCCAACAAATCTTCATTCTGCAGTGGAAGGTACTGTCTATCTCTTCTATAACCATTTAAAAGGCCTTTACCTCATCTTTTTCATTTCCCACATATCTCAATTTGACAATCTACTAGTCCAGTCTGCATAGGAAAACAGAAGCTCACATTTGTTAGAGCCTGTCGGTCTGAAATAACAATGGCTCAAGTTCCTATGGTACTTCACAGCTTAGTTTACAAAGCAACAGCCCCAGGAGAGAAATAACTGGAATATTATTCTCTCCATTTTACAGCTGGAGAAACCAAGATAAGGGTAAAGTCACAAAGCAGCAGAAACACACTGGAACCTGGTTCCAAAAATCTACTTGTTTCTCATGTTTCAGAATAGCCCGGGCACTTTGGGGTTTTTGGTTTTTTTTGTGGGGTGGAGGTATGCAGGTAAGTCTGTTTGATAGCAGTAAGTCTGTTTCAGATATTAGGAAAACTGAGAGTAGAGTATCTTGTAAAGGTCACTCTGGGAAAAACATAAAAGAAGGAACCTGGTCCCCATTTGTTCTTTGTCATTTAAGACCTAACAAAAGAATTCAGAACAATATCTTGAATTTCCTAATTTGAGCTTTTTTTGACGATTATCTTTTAAGTTTAAAAAAAAAAAACTTACCGGCTGCTCTGGTAAATCCTGTTCCTCTTCCATGAGTACCACTTTTCTGGAATATGCTTGTGTGACTGGCTTGCAAGTCTTCTTAGCAGTCTACACAGTCTGTAAAAAAAGGGGTGCAGACCTTTATGTAGTTGGAAGGTGCTTATCATTAAGGCCATCATGTAGAAATTTTTTTTCTATATTGCTCTTCTCACCTGTCTACATGAGTTACAATCTTCAAATATCAAACTTGCACGTGGCTTTTCAAAAGAGAAATACTGTACCAAGTTTCAAGGCAGGGATACAGGATTGTTTTTCATGCCTTACAAAAGCCAACACGTGAGCCACTTCGACTGCACTTAAAACATGGTTACTCTAAGGCTTAATACATCAGACATCTTACAATGACAGCCACGTGCACAGAACTAAAACAAATTTCTTTAGGATTAACAGTTACATCACAAACGATAAAACTGACCTACCATGACAATAAGCAGCGATAACATCTAACCTGTTTTAATGTAGAACATTTATATAACTGTTACACCAAAAAAAAATCACTAAATAGGACATCCTAGAGTATCAATTAAATGCTTCTACAACTAACTAGTCATATCTGGCCAATTTAAAAGGAAGTAATCTATATTTTTAAACTTAGGCACATTCAAAATGAAATATATATATATATATATATGTGTATATATGTGTGTGTATATACATGTATGTATACATATACACACAATGGCAGATATATTTTAGGAAAGGTTAAATAATGAATAATCTTTTAAGTCACTACATACTAATCACTACTGAAAGCCCAAGGACCCATTTGACTCTGAGGGTAAACCACTTCCATAAAAATGATCTCTTCAATTACTTAAGCAAAATCTTCCTAGCTTTTAAGTCATTCACTGTACTCATTTTCAAATTAGGAGAAACAAAAAAGAAAACATGAGTTAGAGCAGTAAAAAATTCTAAAAACAACAAGCATCATATTTGGCGGTAATAGTCAGCCTAAAGCTAAAAAAGAAAAAGAAAGCATGAAAAACTAGGTGCACCACAATAATGGAGCTAAAGACATCATTCGTATGTGAAGCAAAGGAGACTAGTTTCTGTTGGAATATGTGTTCTATTTGCTAGATTAATCGTTCATTAAAATTTATAAACTCCCTAATTTCCTCTGCCAACAGATTGTTCCAACTAAGGAAAGAATGGAGACTTACAGATATACTGGAACAAGACATTATTAAGGTCCAAGGAAACATTCATAGGCTTCATATGACTTTTACTGTTCTATTACTTAACATTGTAGACAAAGTACTCAGGGAAGGGAGAAATGGGAGAACAGATGTGATCACATGCACTGTTTTCCAACTCCAAAGTATCTTTATGAAAGCAACTAGGTGGTACAGTAGGTAAGAGTACTGAACTTGGAATCAGGAAGATCTGAGTTCAAATGCAGCCCTACCCACTGTGTGACCTTGGGCAAAAGATTTAAACTCTCTCAGCTCAGTTTCCCTATCTTTAAAATGGGGGTAATAACAGTGCATACCTCACAGTATTATTGAGAAGACCAACTGAAGCTAACATATTTAGAGTGCCTCACAAACCTAAACTGCTATATGATATTAGTTATTATCATTATTGCTAAGTATTTCCTGGCTCAGGCAGATGATGCCCCATGATGCACAAAGACAAGGAGAAGCCAGCTCTGCTTGTGAGCACGCTGCTCCCTCTGTACCCCCCTGACTCAGCACACCTCACAAGGTGCAAGAAATCAGGTCTGAGGGGCAGGTAGGTGGCACAGTGCACAGAGGGCCGGTCCTGGAGTCAGGTGGACCTGAGCTCAAATCCGGTCTGAGACTAGACACTTGACACTAGCTGTGTGACCCTGGGTAAGTCACTTAACCCCAATTGCCTCGCCTCCCCCTCCCCCCCCAAAAAAAATCATGCCTGAGCCGGAATGCAAACACACCTGGATCCAGCTTCCACTACAGATACAGATGGAACTAATCTACAATTTACAGTCTACCAATGTTGAATGCTAAAAGCTGTCTCAATCAACAAGCATTTATTAAGTGCTTACCATGTGCCAGGAACTGTCAAGTATCTAAATACATGCATATTCAAACTCTTTAAAATTATTCTAGGTGACAAAAATCACTGGAGAAATTTTCTCATCTGGATTAGCCACTTTCTGTCAAATGTACTGATCGCCTGCTCTTACCAGAACACATTTTCACCCAGAGCATTACTTTGGTAGTATTTTTCTTTTTAACAAAGCACCACAACTGTGACTAATAGTTTTAATTTAATATTTTCATTTATTTCAAGCAACAAACGGGCAAATTTGGCAAATATGGAAACATAATTTCAAAACTCTGCTAGGTAGTACTCTGAAAATAAGTGCTGTAACTCAAGTTGCAAAAAAATCTAATTTTAATTCCCTCAAAACAGGGAAAGAAAAAAAACAGAGACATGAATCCTCAATGCCCTCCTTTTCTTTCAGGGTAAACACCACCTATTATTTCTATCCCAAGTCATTTCAATTTAGGTTAGGGAAAATTTTATGTTTCAGGGAAAACTGAGCCTTACACAAACCAAGTTTGAACATTGCCATTGGTAACTAAAATGACAATTGATAATTCTGATCAATTTAAAACAAATCAAAAGGAACTATTAAAGAAGGAACATGAGGAGCAACTAGGTGGCACAGTGGATAGAGTACCAGGCCTGGAGTCAGGAGGACCTGATTTCAAAAATAGGCTTCAGACATTTCACACTTACTAGCTGCCTGACCCTGGGCAAGTCAATTAACTCCAACTGCCTCACAAAAACTCTTTTAAAAAAATTTTTTTAAAAGAAAGAACATATTTTATGCAAAATACTGGCCGTGTCAGAGTTTTTGAAAAGTACCATGGGACACATTATGAGACTGTAGAAGAAGAGAACCTAGCAAACTGGCCATTTCCCAGTGATAAGAAAAAAATACTCCTCATTTGAGGACAGCAGGTGCTCCTTGGTAATGAAAGAAAGTGTAGCACTACTCTTCAAATCTTAATACACATATTTCCAGGCTCTGACACAGTATCTTGGTAGGGTAGGTTTTAACCCCAGTTGTGATCAATCCATTTTGCCATCATTCTCTGTTTCAAGAGATGGGTTTTTCTAAAATACTAGATCAAATTCAATAGCTTTAAATCTAAGCTTTTAAAAGCCAAGAGGAAGGAAATGCAGATTTACCAAAATGTCAGGTCATGTCACAACAAGATGACATTTAAAAAACACATTCTCTCTATATTAATCTTCTGTCACTTTAAGTAATAACGATGTTTGGATATAGTAGTTTACATGGAATTTTCTAGTTTCTCTGCCTACTACTGATTCCCTGATTTACATGCTTCCAATTCATCAATGTGCTGATCACAACTCAGAATCCAGCAAACAAATTGGAACTTCACATTCTCTTCCCAACAAATAGCATTAACAATTCAAAATAAGATATCTAATTCACATCCGGAGGCAGCAAGGTGGTCCAGTGGACAGAGCACAGGGCCTGGAATCAGAAACACTCTTCTTCCTGAGTTCAAATCCGGTCTTAGACACTTACTAGCTGCATGACCCTGGGCAAGACACTTCACCCTGTTTGCCTCAGTTTCCTCATCTGTAATATGAGCTGGAGAAGGAGATGGCAAACCACTCCAGTTCTCTGCCAAGAAAACCCCAAATGGGGTCACAAAGAGTTGGACACAACTGAAAAACAACTCAAGAGCAAAATTCATCTGCATTTTAAGAATTACTTTCATAAAATTCCTCTACTCCATTTCTATTTGTTCATTAAAAAATGCTTCCAGATATAAGCATCTTCTGCTTGTATTCTGCGTAACATATGAGTTTTTATAAATTTTTAAAAAGTGGAAAATGTAACACAAAAAATTAGAAAAAATTCAATTCCAATTAGACAGCTATCCCACTTTCTCTTTTATATATAGTACAACATAGCTGACTGCCACATTTCAAGAAACCATCAAAATTTTCCTAACTTCAAAGCTACTTTCAACGAAATTACTTAGCTAGCTAGGTTATCACTGAAAAGAAAAACTGCATGTAAATCAAATATCATTATCATCATCCCCTACAAGTATGGTAAGGAATAAAAAGCTCTATAAGAGGAATCTGCATATGGGTACCCCAATTTCTTGGCTTGTATACCCAGTAATTCTCAGTAATCTAGAATAATTTATGTGTTTCTGATGCTCAGATTCAATCTTGAAGATGTATTTACCACCTCTAGTACATAGATATGCACACCCAGGCACAGGGAGGGTATTCTGTGGTTCTGGTCAGTAACTGCTATCAATCTCCTAGATTCAAAGAAAGTCTTTTATTGGGTATTTGCCCTGTATTTTCCAGAACAGAGCTGCAGATAAATCACAAAAATTTTCATGCCACAAAATTTTTCACCATTCTCCTCAAATTAGCACTGACCACACCAACAGAGACCTCTATTTGAGACAAGTAACACTACACGTCTTAATGGATTTCTTTTTACATCTGACAAAGCCTGCATAATTAACCTAAAATTCCTTGAAAACCTTTTAAAATTAGAAATAGCTACAGCTTACTAAATGCAGTTCTTAAGTTCTCCTCAAAAAATAAAAAAATTACTTGAATTTCACAACTTATTCCAAAATCTTGTGTTTGACTTTATTTTTTAAAAAATAATCAACACTAACCTCATAGTACCCTAAGAAAACCTTGATGGGGATGCAAGTAAATTCTTTCAAATGAAAAAAAAAAGTTTTGCAGACTGGTCTGTTTTCCGTTTTAAAGTGAGCCAAGAAATAACCTAGTCCAACTTCCTAATTTTCTTTGTTCTTCAGTCATTTCAGTCATGTCTGATTCTTTATGACCCCATTTGGAGTTTTCTTGGCAAAGATACTGGAGTGGTTTGTAATTTCCTTCTCCAGCACATTTTACAGATAAGGAAACGGAGGCAAACTGGATTAAGTGACTTGTTCCAGATCACACATCTAGTAAGTGTCTAAGAACAGATTTGAACTCAGGAAGATGAGTCTATCTGACTCCAGGGCCTATGATGTATCCAATGCACCACCTAG